TCTCCTTATATCAAAGAAGACATTTGGCATTTGTTTTTTTAGGGATTGGCTAGCTTCACTTAGCATAATCTGCTCTAATGCCATCCATTTCCCTGCAAATTCTATGATTTTGTCATTTTTTAATGCAGAGTGATACTCCATTGTGTATAAATGCCACATTTTTTTTTATCCATTTGTCTATTGAAGGGCATCTAGGTTGGTTCCACAGTCTTGCTATTGTGAATTGTGCTGCTATGAACATCGATGTAGCAGTGTCCCTGTAGCATGCTCTTTTTAGGTCTTTAGGGAATAGACCGAGAAGGGGAATAGCTGGGTCAAATGGTGGTTCCATTCCCAGCTTTCCAAGAAATCTCCATACTGCTTTCCAAATTGGCTGCATCAATTTGCAGTCCCACCAGCAATGTACAAGTGTACCCTTTTCCCCACATCCTCGCCAGCACTTGTTGTTTGACTTCATAATGGCTGCCAATCTTACTGGAGTGAGATGGTATCTTAGGGTGGTTTTGATTTGCATTTCTCTGACTGCTAGAGATGGTGAGCATCTTTTCATGTACCAGGGCCATTTGGGAAACGATGACCCCAAGAAGGCAGGGAGAATTGAGAATGTCTGAGATTCCTGTTGAAAGCACAGTGACAGTCCCTGTGTGCTTGGTACCTTCAGAAATTGCTACTGCTATGGCTAGACCTGAAGTGTTTTACTTTAGCAATTTTCATGGTGGGAGACACTTGATCTGAACTTTGCAACATGTATGAGATTTGGGTAGGATATGGCAGGTCTTTAGGATATGAAAAAGAATATACAAAAAAATGTTTGGTTTTGACTTTTTAATTTTTTCATGCCTTTCTTTCTTAAAAACATTTTTCTTTTCTATTTATTTTGACATAATTAAAAAATCATTAAATATAATTTGCTCATATTCAGTCACCAGTATTTACCCTCTTCTCTCTTTCCCTGTTCTCTTCCCTCTACTCTACTGATCTTTCTGTTATTTACTTTTGGATTTTTTTTTTCTTTTTGATCAGTGTCTTGTGAATATATCTGATGGTGAGATTCACTGTGGTATATTCTTATATTTAAACAGGAAAGTTAGGTTAACTTCTCTGTTCTTCCCTTACCCCATCTCTTCCCCTTCAGTTCCCTTCATCTAGCCTACCTGTCTTCCTCCTTTTTGATAGAACCTTCCACCCCCTTCCCTCTCTCTCTCTCTTTTCCTCCTTATTTTGGACTAGCTTCCATATATATGAGAGGAAACATTGGACTTTGGCTTTCTGAATCTGGCTTTAAAAATATGGAATGATTTATGAATTTGCAGGTCTTCCTTGTCCAGGGGGCCATGCTCATCTTCTCTGTATCATTCCAACTTTAGTATTTGTGCTGCCAAAGTAAGCACTCTTCAGAAGATGTATAAGGAATTAGACGCTGTAAATAAGCTAGAGTTTCTTGTTGGTCTATGAATGCCTGTTGGGATAAAGGGCTGCTTTGGATATTGCTGGCTAGCTCCTCCTTCTGAAAATGGGGGAATTTCTGAGAGGTTATGGATCGTCCTTCCCCTCTGATCATCCCTGATACTTCTTCCTTGGCTCCTCTTCTTAGCTTGAGGGTTGACCCACCTCTCTTCCAGGGAGCCTTCCCTTGTCTGGCTCCTCACTTACTTCATGAGCATCTCATCCATCCCAAGGTTGTGCCTCTGTTTTTTTTTTTTTTTTTTTTTTACAGGTGAAGGATCTCAAGATGGCAGCTTAGCTCCCCACTGTTGGATGCCCATCTCTTCATGCATGTCCTGGACACTTTAAACTCAGGGTGTCCCAGATTGATGGGATGATTTCAGTCATTAGGGTTCGACACTTTAGAGTGACAGGTTGGTCCTTTCCTTCCTCATCACCTGCACCTTGGTGCTATTCCCTTGCTTACACTCCACTCTGCATTTCAGGGAAAAGGCTCTCAGAGATACTACAATTCATCCCTATGTGTCTTTGCTTAGGTGACCAACATTTCCATCCCTCCACAAGATTTTATGTCTGATTGACACAAATCTTAAGGCCAGATGAAATGTTTCTTTCCATGAAGTTTTATCTGGTTCTGTTGCCCAGTATGTTACCTATTGCTGTGCCAGGTTTATCTGCATATTCTCATGTTCCGGAGCATTCTGTCTTTTCTATTGCTTTTCTTGATATCTGTGTTACATTCTTTCCTCAATGCTCTGAGCTCATTGTGAGCAGGATGTTTACCTGATTCATTCCCTTACACCTCTCAATGATATTTACATATTTGGGGTCAATAAATTAGTTTTGTGGTCACTAACACACTATGTGCATCCTAGTCACAAATTTGTCTATATCTCCAGCTGATGGAGAAATTTCTTGAGGTTGTGACTAAACATGATTTAACTTTGTGTCTGCTACATCAACGGAGCACTGTGCCTGGAGCAACCTAAATATACAATAAATGTTGAATTGAATGGTTGATGGGAACTCCACTAATGATTTAGTATTTATTACACCTTGAAGATGGGACATTAAATTTTTGCATAAAGCAGGTGAACCTATAAGGGATATTAAGAAGGGGTTTGGGACAGAAATCTAGGAGAACATGGTATCACAGAAAAGGGAAGAATTTATGTGGAGAGAGGACCAAATAAGGAGACAACTGTCTTAGCAGTTGGAGGTCTTTGGGGATCCATTTCTTTTGAGAAAGGAACAGAAGCCAGAGTGGAATGTATTGAGAAATGAATGAGAGCTATAGACATCTCTCATTGGTGATTTTAAGAGAAAAAATGATGATTTTGGGAGAAAAACAGTATTGATCATTTTGCCTACTGAAAGGAGGAAAGTAATAGGGAAGGCAAATAGATGTTGGAGTGGGATCCAGAGATATTTTTTCTTTTAAAATGGAAATATACAGCAGGGCATGGTGGTGCACACCTGTAATCCCAGCAGCTCAGAGGGCTGAGGCAGGAGGATCACAAGTTTCAGCCTCAGCAATTTAGCGAGGCACTAAACAACTTAATAAGGTCCTGTCTCTAAATAAAATATAAAAAAAAATCGGGGGACGTGGCTCAGTGATTGAGTGCTCCTGAGTTCAATGCCACTTCTCAAAAAAAAAAAATTAGGGAAGAAGACCTTCCTAAGAGAAAATATAAAAAGCTGAATAAGAGCTAATAAATTTATTTACACAATAATTATTTTTGCATGATAAAGGCATATGAAACATCAGGGAAGAGCATTTGTAACCTATGTAACAGATGTAGTGCATAATTTGGATTATCATAAACTAAAGTGAAAAAACATATTTTTTACCTATATGCTATTTGTTTCTCAGCCCTCCTTCCTGTCTGTAGCAGAAGATCTCACATTAAAGAACAAAAATATGAAAAAAATCTCCTTAATGTAGTTTAGTTGTCCTTAAAAACCCAGATCACACTTTCTGTCTTCATCCTTCTCTGCTGCCCTTGAACTTTTGTATCAATTTCTGTTGGCCCACAATTCACTGTTTTGTAATTACACACTGCACATCTCTTCCAACGTGACCTTGAGTTTGTCAAGAGCAGGAGTGTTCTCAGTGCCCAGCACATTCTTATCACCCACCATAGTTGCTGACTCTTGTTGATAAATAGTCACTTAAGTTCCTGGTGTGCTTCAGTGTTTGGAGTGTTAGTTGGGACATTTTCTGCAATTTTCTCACTTTGAGAAGGAACATTTTCAGCCCTTTGCAGGCTCTATTGGACCTCTGCTTAGTCAGATCCCACCTTCTCCAAGAATGACTATGCTGATTTCTAGCGTCATAGATTAGTTTTACCTATTTTTGAACCTCATGTAAAGTGAATCGTACAGCTCACATCCTCTGGTGTCTGACTTCTTTTTGCTCAGCATTATATGTGTGAGATTCAAATGTGTTTATCAGTTTATTCTTTTTCATTGCTGTGTAGTATTTTATTGTATGAATAGTGATTATAGTTTTAATAATAAACTATTTTTTTTGCTTTTTAGACAAATGGCCTTTCCTAAATCTATAATATTATTTAGCCAAAATATGTTTGGCTTTGTAATATTCTTCCTATCCTGTATAGATTTCTGAAACACAAGGAATAGTCAGATGCATACTTTTCTTTTTTCTATAAAGCATGACTTTAAAATTTTGAAAATAAACATCAATTTAGTTTCCTTCTGTAGAGTTGGGCAAGACGTTGAGTTTCTAGGCTTTCCTTCTGTAGGGCCACCCTGAATATTAACTGGGACAGTGGGAGTCACAGGGGGGTGGCCTCCTTGGGTGGAAACCTCTCTTTCCTGACAGCTCTGTTTGATGTCTCCCCATCTCTCCTACGTGGACGATTTCCAGTGAGATGAGTCAGAAAATGGGTAAGGAGGGTCCCAGACTCTCCAAGAACCAGAAGTTCTCCGAGCACTTCAGCATCCACTGCTGCCCGCCCTTCACCTTCCTCAACTCCAAGCGGGAGATCGTGGATCGGAAATACAGCCTCTGCAAGAGCGGCTGCTTCTACCAGAAGAAAGAGGAGGACTGGATCTGCTGCGCCTGCCAGAAGACCAGGTGAGTGAGTGGCCCCGCTGCCCCTGGCGCCGGCGCTGGGCACCCGCCTGTCGTCTCTGGGCTCAGAGTGCGCCCTGCCTCCTCGCTCCGTGATGCCGGGGTTGGGGCTCCGCGAACCGCTCTCGGGGATCCTGACAGTTAGCTCCCTGCTAGGTCCGGACACTGGAAGGCACTCGAGGGCGATCGGAAGGTGGGAGGGGGAGCAGGGCCTTCCCCCCTGTTTCCAGCTCCCGTCAGCAGCCCTTAAGCAGCAGAGGAGAGCCTTGGCTGCAGCCTCCAGCCTCCAGCCTCCAGCTTCTTTTGGCCCTCTCAGACCCAGCCGTCGTGCCACGTCCCCTCAGAGGCCCAAGCCACAGCCAGCGGCGCCCCCCGCGGTGGTCAGAGCACCAGCCAAGCCACGGTCCCCTCCGAGGTCCGAGCGTCCGCCGCGTCCCCGCCCAGAGGTCCGACCACCTCCAGCCAAGCAGCGTCCCCCTCAGAAGGCCAAGCAACCACCACGCAGCAGCCCCCTCAGAGGGCCAGGCGCCAGCCGCGGGGGGTCTCCCATCAAAGCTTCTAGGTTCTGGTAACACCATCTCTTCCCTTTTGTTTCCCCCAGCCCTAAGGTTAGTAGCTGTTGCCTGTCCTTATAGACCAGGGGGCTCTCTGGATGGCCCCCTCTCAGCCTTACCCAACGTGTGTAACCAATGCCCTGCATTAAATCCCCTCTGTTGGAAAAACCTGGTGTGGCTTCTGCTTTCCTCCTAGACACTCACTGTTGGTCCGTATTTCACGTGGCTGGGTCCTTTGTCTAGTAGAACTGGAAATCATGAAGTGACCAATTAAGGTTACTGACCACAGTAACAGACTGAATAAATGATTACCTCCATGCTTATGCCTCAGAGAGGAGGAAGGGTGACTATTGGAATATCTGTGTTTGTGTAAAAGGAGAAATTCAGTGGGATCCTTCTCCCATCCTGATCAGGGGTCAATCTCAGTGGCAATGCTACTCATTAGTTCATCTGTTTAGTCATAGGAGCAAACTTTACTGCATACCCATAGGATTTTACGCTCTGTAGTAGGGAAGAGAATATGGAGGTGAATAAGCAAGGGAATCTGTGATTCACCAGGACCAAGTAAGAGAATAATTAGTCAGGTATAGAGTGTAAGTGCTCTAGTATTTCCATAATAAGAGAGTATATTGGACCTTGAGGTCCTTTGAGTAGGGAGTATTGGCACAGGAATTTGGGGGATCCAAGGAGGAAATTAGGTTAGGGTGAATAGAGGGTTAGAAGAAGGTGATTCATTGGGCTGGGCATGTGGCTCAAGCGGTAGCGCTCTCGCCTGGCATGAGTGTGGCCCAGGTTCGATCCTCAGCACCACATACAAACAAAGATGTTGTGTCTGCCGAAAAAAGCTAAAAAATAAATATTAAAAAATTTTCTCTCTCTCTTAAAAAAAAAAAAAGAAGAAGAAGGTGATTCATATAGAGGAACAAGAGATCCAGAGGGGTGCATGTCCATTGCTCTTAGGGGGTTGGCTTTTTCCTTTTTTAAAAAATAGATGTTAATTTTTTGGAATAGTTTTAGGTTTATAATAAAATTGAGGGAAGACAAAGATTTTCCCTGGATACCCCTGAGCTTACTGACACATGGCCCGCCAACTTTTTAGTCCTTTTATAATTTTGGAAACTTAATCTGTTTTATAAGATGGTAGTGGGTGTTAATTGTATTTGATATTCTCTTATCAGCTCTGATACCTGGCACCTGTATAGCCCGTTGCTGGGTGCAGATGTTACATGATGTTTACTAATTTAGTAAGAAGAAGAATCCATGGGGAAGCATGTTCACTGGATTACCAGTGAAGCTGGGGAATCTGCATTTTCAACGAACTGTAGTTTCCTACAACTGTAGTGATAAAGAACAAAGAGTACATAATGAACCACCCTGACCTAAATCATCTATAAATTAATGATCCAGATTATCTGTGATATGTAGTAAAAGATGTGAGAAGTACCAAATTTATGGTATCCAAAGTGAAAGCATTACAAAGATGCAGGATCAGGTGAGTTTAATTTGCAAAGCAAATAACAGGCTAGTCACTAAAACTTCAGTAGCAAGTTGTATTCAGGATACCCAGTCATTCACTCGGTCCCTCCAAGGGGCTGGAGTAAAAGGTAGCAAGGCCAGGTAAGTTTTAATATGCAGAATTGGTTAGGAAAGGTGGGGAGCAGAAGAAATTAATTTTCTAAGAGGTATGTCAGCTGCAGTAAGTTCAGTGCTGGCTCTTTGCTGGAGAGGGCTTGGAGAGGAATGTTAAGACAATGAAAGCAAAACTAGCCATGCATTTGTCTGGATCCAGCTTTGCTCATTGTGTTCACCTGAATTCAAGACATCCTGGTGTTGGTGGGTCTTGACTCCCTTGGTTAACTTGTCTTAGTGAGTGTCAGAGAAGGTGCCTCCACAGACTACCATTGCCTTCTCAGCCATGGCCCTGTACCTGGGGACAGAGGACCCCAAAAGCTACCTTCATAATGTCTCATAACTTTGCTTGTGTGCTATCTGAACCCTACCCGAGAGACTTATTTTCTTTTCTTAGCATCTCAAAGGTCCTAAGGTAATGTATTAAATATGTTTCATTGCCATATAATATATTTCCTTTATTGATACCAGTTGACTATTGCAAATCAAAGGAGTAGGAGGTGGGTTAATGGGAAAAATTCACTCGTAAGCAGAGCTACTAAGGCATGCTTTAAAAAAGGATAGAAAAAGCTTCTCTGAAGCAGACTTGCCTTCTGAAACGGTCCCACCCAGGAGGCTTTGCCTTGAGAGGTTAGGCAATTCTGACAGAGGACTTTTGGGTTTGTAATAACTCCCTTGAATAGGTCTTCTCAAAAACCAGAGCATAATTTAATCTTAGAAACCAATTGGAATGATTCCTAGAATCCTGATTGAATACAGTAGTGTTCCTGAATTTGATAAGAGGAAACTCTGGAATTTCCCATTTAGTTTATCTTGCTTTCTCAGTTTTTGGAAAAGATTTTAGTACTTCACAAGTTTTCCCTTGCTTTTAATGTTCATTCATTTTCTGGGCTGAATTTCTTTTGGTTCCTCAGTGTTCTGCTTTGGGTAGCTGGAGATCTGTGGTTCTTTGAAAACCACCATGGTCATCATTTGGAGCCCATCAATCACACATATGGGGGCAGTGCTGTGTGCCTTTGACTCATTGTTTGACAACATGTCTTATATCGCACCAAACCAAGCCCTGCACCTTAGCAGCCTGGAAGACCAATGTATTCTGCATGTATTTATCAAGCCTATTTGTCAAAACCATGTGAACAGGACTGTACTAAGCTCTAAAAATAAAGGGAAATGAAGTAGGCCCTGGGTTGAGCTGCTCAAATGATATTTATGAGTGGTCTATCCCTCAGTGATGCTGCTGTTAACTCCAAGGGCAGCCCTTGGTCACCTCTAACCTCAGCCCACATCCAGTGATTCTATCTCCTAGATCTCTCTCCTTTAGTCATTTATTTATTTCTTCATCTCACTTTATCAGATAATAAGATCAAAACCTAGGAAAGATAATGGTTAGAGGAAAAGGTAAGTAGATTTAAGTTCTCCATGGGATTTATTCTCTAGGAAACAGAGAATGCTGTATGTAGTCTTGAGTCTCAAAATTGAAGCAAGCCCCAGTTTGGTGGTTGGTTGACTACTCACTATCTTGGGCCAGGCACGGAAACACAGTGCTTCTAAAGTTTAGTAAAGCACCGCTAGCTGGATAATCCATGATGGTTCCATTAGCAATGGGGTAGAAACTACTGTACTTTCTTTTTGCAACTATGGAAGGAGAGATTCATATTTTTATGTTATTTTGAGTTTGGAATTATCAAGACTTACAAAGAATAGTGCAGTTATAAGTGGTTCTTTAATTGTCAATTATAATTGAAGACTAGAATTTGCTTTGGAATAAGGATGACTAATAATCAGTTACTATTGGGGTTCTGAGAGTGCATGACAGTACCAGTCATCGGATCCAGCTACAAAGGTCCAGACTATTGGGTAGAGATTGCCTTCCTGTCTTTCAGGCATGCAAACTCCAACTTTCTCTGGACTCCTTCTATAACATAATTTGTCTTCTTTTGTCTTTTCTGATGCTGAAGAGGTTGACTCTGCAATTTCTTTGTCTTCCAGAGAACCAGAGAACACTCTCCCTTTCTTTGTGCAGGATTGTGTAAACTAGTTCTTCCAGTTCTTTTTCTGGATCCTGCCTCTGTTTCCCTGAGAGAAAATCATGAACTCTGTAGTCATGTCTTGGAAAGAATTTTCTTCTTACATGTTTGAAGGAAAACTGGAATGTGTTATACCTAATTTCATCCTAGTGATTATGTCTTGGCATTCTATTTTTAAATTCTTGAGCCAAAAACAAGATCAGAAATTCATCTATTTTTTTCCCCAGATACTTGCAGAGCTAGGGAAAGGACTTGAGCTTTTGCTTTGTTGAGGTTCTTGCCCTACCTGCCTCCCAAGGTTGCATTATTGCTTTTATGAGTTTGAGTGACTTAACTCTTGGATTTGCTCCACCTGCGCCACATAGTCTTCCCATAGAGAGCAGGCCTATGTGCATCCTGTGGTCCTGGTAGCACAGAGCCTATGCAGAGCAGGAGCTGGTACCAAAACCTGGGCAAGGATATGTGTGGTTCCTCAGTGTGACAGTCCCTGCCTGGTGATATATCCTTAGCTGATCTGAGCCACATGGGTAGCCATCCCCTCTCTAATAGCCTTAACTCTGTTGACCTCCACCTCCCATAACACTTGCACATCCCCAGTTCTAGATTAGGCTCATGACCTGCCTATACTGCTCTGGTTTCACAGCTGTTGAGCACAGTCATGTATGCACAGAGCTACTGAGCACAGTTGACAAGAGCTTTATAGCTCCAAGGGCTGGTGTCACTACAGATGGCACCAACCCCTAGACCAGCCTGCATCCACCAGCCCCACGTGTGTATCAGGCCACGTGTCTGCCTTCAGATCCTTCCTCTCGGCCTCAGAGGATGAAGCGTTGGTTCCTCCTCCCCAATGCACACACCTGTGATCTTCCTCCCTTGGCTTGTGTCTTCTCGAGGTCTCACTGCTGCACAATTTATCTACCTTCCCACTCACTTCAGCCTTTTATTAATCTTTCTTTTTAGCTTTTAACACATTTAGCTGTCTCCTGGAGGCTGAGTTTCCTTCTGGCTCTGTCTCATCTTTTTTCTTCCCTTCTCTGACCAATTTAAAAAAGAACAATGTAAACTTATCATCTTTACTTCCTCAAATTCCCTTTATATTTCAGTTGATGGTGCTCTGATTTCTTCCCATAGCCCCAAACAGGAATTTCTTTTGTGCAGATTTCCTCCAGAAATGTCAATGCGAAGGCAAGCAGTTTATTTGGGAGATGAAGCAAAGACTGGGGAACAGAAGGAAATGGGACAAAAAAATGAGGCATCCAATTAAAAAAATATGCATTATACAACTGGCTTCTGCTGTGGGAAGTAGAGTAACTTTTAATAAGCCTGTAGATAATCTACCAAAGACACTTATCTAGTGAAGTG